AGAAATTGGTATTTGTAGTTCATAATGGGCTCTAGCTCTTGTGGTGAATCATTGTATGTATAGGTCCAAGTTGTGGTATAGCCCCCATATAACGGTACCTGCCGATATTCGATATTTTGATGATTTTTGCACACATTTTTCCACGGATTTGTGTAAAAATTTGTATTTGTAGTTCATTATGGGTTCTAGCCCAGTGGCAGAACATTGAACATTGATCTTTTACCCTAAGGGGGAGGGTATTAAAAGTTGTTCTTTTTCGGAAAGAATAATAGGAGAATGATTATTTGTAATGTAGTACAAATATCATCAGTAATCGAATTTATTCACAATTTTGCACTATTTAGTACTATTATAGTACACATTTCCTAAGCCATCCCCGTTTACACAGGATATACATGAACAGCGACTCCAATATACATATCCACCACTTTCATATATCAAACCTACTTTCCAACCTTGAATCTAATGCCAAATTTTTTAGCTCTCTCCTTTCACATAATACCTAAATGGTAGAGTTTATGTGAGAAACGCTGCAGCAGCATCACTGTAGCTTCTACTGAATTGTGAATTGAATTTGTTACTCTCTTTCTTTTGTTATGCTAATTGTGGAAAAAACAGTATTGGTTAGGAATGTCATTGTCACTATCATAAATATGATTGGAGCAATAATAACAACAATCCTATAACAGAGGGAAAGAGAGTCGTGAACTTTAAAAGAAATAGAATTTGAGATTAAAACCAGTACTGCAATTAGAAGAGACATCAGTGCAAGAAAAAAGGTACTGTTTGCATAGAAGAATTTAATTCTAAATTTGTCAATGCATTTTCGCAACCGATGAGAAAAGTTCATTGGAATATTAATAAATAAATTTATATTTAATAAGGAAAAAAGTCTTTCTTTTCGAATAACATATATGTGGAGCCATACTTAAATAAAGGTAATTGGTTTATTACCCATGTAAATAATTATTGGAGATAGATTATGCTGTTGATGTAAAATATTGCCCGTGTCATTTATATGTTAAAGAAAATTGCATGTGGAGCATGCATAACAAACAATTGGACAAATACCAATTGCCCTAAATAGGATAAATGCAGTGTTCATTGGTGCATCACGGGTAAGAAGTTTTAGTTGCTTATAAACAACAGAAAAAGAAGTCTGCTATAGCCAGAGACGCAAGTTGAAATCGTTGCAAAGGGACGTTGATGGCAGAAGGGTTGGCCAGCGATTGTACATCCGTGGTGGTCAACTATAGTAAAGTTGGCAAATGGCCCCAACAGGTACCATTTTAAAAGATTAGTACCTTTTTAGAACTTTTCGTAACATAAAGTTCGAATTTGCAAAAAACCCTTTTGTACGTCTATGCCGCATTCCATCGGTGACTTTCATTCTAAGTTTCTGAATTTTAACTTATTCCTTTTGTCCAATAACAAGAATTCACTGGCCACTGTGCACTGGAAATGAAGCGAGGAACCTCATTTGTAACCATTCTTGGCGCGTGCTGAGTGCGATGGTACTGAGTCCTGTTGGAATGTCCAAGTTCCGCGGCCAAAATGTTTGCGTGCCCAAGGCTTTAATACACCCTCCAGAATATTTTCGCCATAATATTCGGCATTTATTCTGAGCCATTTTTCTGCCACTGCGACGCGGGTTTCGATCAAGTCGCTTCTTTGCTTTTCGGACCATTTCTGCTGATGTTGCTGTTTTCTTCCGTCCTCTTCCTTGACGTCGGGCTACGCTACAGTATCACGGTAACGATCGATGGTACGAGACACATAAAATTTATTCACATTTAAATGCTGTAGTGCTCTAACGATAGCCACTTGTGGTTTTCCAGCCAAATATAAAGAAATCACACTATCACGCTTAAATTCCACCACGAATAACTTTTTTCTGGAAAATTCTCACTAAAATGCTTTTATACGCTTGTAAACAATATAACGAGCTGTCACTGGAATAATTTTAAAAGCTGTCGGACGAGTGGCCTAAAAATGACAGCAGTCTGAAGTTGGTTCCAGTTTTTTTCATCTCACCCTGTATATCTTAAATGATTTTCACCAAATTTGAGGTACTTATTTCTAGGATGAATTCAGTCGAAATTGCCAGGATTCAGTCAATTTGGGCTGATATTAACTATTTGGTGCACAATACACATCATATAGGACAAATATATTTGTGGGAGCTATATCCAAATCTGACCCGATGTCGATAAAATTTGACAGAGGTATTTTTGGGCTGAATCTGGTATTAAATATTATTCTTGTGGAGCGCATATTACGAATGTGAGGGTCTTAAACACGAAATCGGGTGAAACATATATATGTGAGCTATAGCTATATCTGAACCGATTTTCTCCAAATTTGATGTACTTGCTTCTAGACAGAATTCGGTCGGATATGCCAAAACTTTGGTCATTTAGGCTCATATTGGCCATTTGGTGCAAAATTAACCCGAAATCAGTTGAAGATATATATGGGAGCTATATCTAAATTTGTAATGATTCTTACAAATTTCAAGAGGGTTCGTCCTTGGGTCAGACAAAAATATTGTTTGGAAAATTTCATCTCAATCGGATAATAAATGCAGCCTGCATTTGGTGCACAAACATACATGGATAGATAGACGGACGGAGGGACTGGCATGCATGAATCGACTAGGAAAGTGATTCTAAGACGATCATCAAAATTAACTAACAAAATTAACAAATGCACAAACCTTACGACTATGTGATGTAGGGTATAAATATCAAAAGTACTAAATTGTTGTAAATTTGATTTGTTTGATGGTGGGAATATAAGTTGAAATCTAATCAAAACATGTAAAAAATCAGCTAAGTTCGGCAAGGATGAACATTAAATACCGTCTACCAATAGGGAATATTTTGGAAAATAGAAAAAATTCCGTGGAAAAATACTGTACCATGGACCTTTACAATCAATTATCTGCCAGAGAAGGAGGTGCTTATTACGATCTCCAATTACCCAGTTTCATATAATTCTGTTCAAAAATGTAACCTAAATCATAACAAGTTAAAAAGCAATAAGTTCGGCCAGGCCGAACTTTGAATACCCTCCACCATTTGAACGAATTTGGAAATTTTCAAAAAATAATAAAATATAATAAAAATACCGAATATAGACGTTATATTGGGGTCTATACGATGTGGACCTACATAGGCATGGTTGTCATAAGCCATTACCATATTCAAATTCGAAACTTGAAATAAACGGTAAATAATGTAGCTAAAATCACCAAAATATCGTATATAGGGAGGTATCGTTACATCGGAACTATACGAAGATCTGGACTTGCATAGACAACTTTCTGTTACAGCCTGTAGCATCCATTACGAACACTTAATATGGCATCTCAAACAATTTCAGTGAGTATTGTACCTAAAATGTTCAAAATACCGAATATATGGAGGAACTGATATATGGAGCCTATACGAAGACCTAGACCTGCATAGACAACTTTCTGTCATAGGTTGTAGTATCCATTACGAACTTCAAATACCAAATTTGAAACGATACCGGTGAATAATGTCGCTAAAATCATCAAAATACCGACTTGGACCTGCACTGCCAATTTTCTGTCTAAGGCTGTAGTATCCCTTTGGAACTTCAAGTACCAAATTTGAAACAATTTCAATGAATAATGTCGCTAAAATCGTCAAAATACCCGATATCGCGAGATACCGTTATATGGGGGCTAAATGAAAACGTGGACCAACATGGCCCATTTACGAACTTTACCTGCCTACTGGCAAAATAACAATGTCTGCAAAATTTTAGCCTTCTATCTTGGTTCGTTCGAAAGATTACAACAGACAGACAGATGAACATCGCTAAATCGTCTTAGAATTTTACGCAGATCAAGAAAATATATACTTTGTTGGGTCTGACATGAGAATTTCGAAGAGTTACAAACGGAATGACCGAATATTGAGATTTACCCAAATATGAGGGCTATACGAAGGCCTGGATCCGTGATGCAATTTTCTGTCATGGTCCCATAATAGTTATTTGACGCCAAAACATACAACAAACCATCTATTACGGACTACATTGGCATTACCTACATTCATATCAAAGCCCTCTTGCCCACCACTTGTTGTTTAAAGCCAATACTAAGTGCCTTAAAAAAGTTATTTGCAAGTCTACAGCGACTATCAACCCCAAGGTCGTTGCCTCAACCAAATTTAAATATTTACTTCCAATTAAGCCGTTTAAACGGCAGCATCAAAAGTAAATTACCGCACTGTGCGTCTTCGTTATTCAGATATCAGTTCAATTATGAAGACAAATTAGTTGGCTCGTTCCTTCATTAAAATTTATATTTGTACAATTATGCTTGATTAAGAAATTTGTACACAGCGACTAGAGGTTTATGGGCGAATACTTTCAAATCATTCGACTTAAAGTAAATAACCCAAAGCCTTAGACATTGTCCTGTTAACCAGACCGAGAGACAGAAAGACGGACGGACGTCTTCCTATAGTTGGTGGGTTAATTCCTTAGAAATTGTTTACCTCAAGTTCTTTGTTTGAACAAATTGCCGCTTAGTGTGTTGTAACAAAAATGTCTCTCTCCCTCCTTCTTTCGTCCTAGGTAAATTGAGAATGTCCTTGGTATCAATTGATGCCGCATCTGTCACTACCACGCTCCGTCTTCCTCCCACTCGATATTGGTTCTGTTACAAGTTCATGGCAAGGTTTTTCTCTCACCACTGCCGCTTTTGGTTTGATGGACCTGGGATGTGCAAATGAAAAGTAAACACTTGTGTGTTTGTGTGCGTGTGCCAGGGCCTGTTTGCATGGGTACTGTTAATAATACTCGCACTTGTCGCTTAACTTAATTACAACATTTTCCTCATGGTGTTGAATTGAAAATTCCGCGTAGTTCCTGTCACACACCCTCAACACCCCACCTCACCGTGCCGCAAATACAGACACCAAACAAAAAAAAAAATAACCAAAAACAAATTACAAAATATTTACCTTAAACGTTTCAAGGCTGCGGGCGGCAGGTCCTCGTCGTCCTTTGACCAAAACACCAAATTGCTGAATTCGTTTTCCAACAGTGCGCTTTGGTCGTCTGTTGTGGTGGCTGTTGGCCGATTGTTGTTCTGATGGCTGATGTTGGTGCTGGGGAATTGCCCATTAATGGCAGATGCAAAGCCATTAATAGTGCCCAGGCTACCGGGACTGACACCCATGACGTTGCCATTGCTGGCTGACATTTTAGTTTGATTGGTGTTGCTACTCGTGTTGCTGTTGTGGAAATTGTTGCTACTTCCACTGGCAGTGGGACTAACACCAACACCAACACCACTGCTGCTGCTGCTGCTTCCGACACCACTGCTGGGACCGTTTAAAGGCTTTAGGGATTTTAAAATGTTTTGTTTTTCTTTATATAAAAAGCTACGGGATACTTGACACTGTAAATCTATGGTACTGCCTGTCTTATAATATCGATCACCAACATCTCGTTCCTGGTCGTCAATTAGACGCAAAGGAGGTTCTGTAATAAGAAAGAAAAAAGCGACAGAGTGAGTTAGATAGAGATAATGAAATTAGAAGAAGATGTAAATGAACAAATTGATTTTGTTACAGGTTTTCTTATTCAGGAAGTATGGAAATGTTAAGCAACGAATGATGGCAGAATGTAAATCAGAGATAATTTCATAATCTAGATATGGATTAAAGGTATTCTGCATAGCTCACATAAATTTGGATAATTAGCAAGAGAGTATATTCTAAAGGTAAAGCTGAGAAAATAGGACTTGCGATACACTAGTAATTAAAATATTACCAATTTTGAAAAATAACAAAAGAGGTAGAGCTAAAAAATAAGGCACATATATCGGCATTTTCATAGTTTACATCGCAATGTAATCGAAAGGAAAGGGACAATTTCCCCCGTCTACCGAATTTTGTGAATTAAGATTCCTTGGAATCTGTTGATTTCAGGTATATAGTGTTTTCGGCAATATGGTCGAAAAATCTAACCCTCAAGCGATCCAACAAAGAGGGTTTTGGGTCCTTTTTTAAAATATGGTTTAAAACTCAATTTAAACGGGAACGTAGCAAGTCAAAATATTTCACAAAATTATTTGTCATAAAATTCTACTATGGGTCTTAAAGGTATAAACGTACCCCAATACCATATATTCATATATATAAAACAAGTAAGCAAAGGGCCGACCGTTGAATACCCTACAACACTATAATAAACCATACAGTTTATATATGCGAGATACTCGAAAGAATTCCACAAGATATTGTGACAAATAATAAAAGAAAACCATCATGTTTCGTTCTCTAATTTTCGAATAATAGCAACTTAAACGAATTTGCTCATTTCCAATTTATTGGTAGATGTTGCACGTAAATGGTCTCAGAAGTGGCAAAAGATTAACATTTATTATTGGTTTTTGACTGAAACGCATCTATATGAGTTACAGACATTTGACTATGTTCTTCAACGAAATCAGCGTTAACGAAATAGTCAGAAGTGCGTCTTTCCTGCATTTGTGAATTCTCCAAAAAGTCGCTGGAATGGATATTTTCGTATTTAGTCTACAAAAGTTATTAAACTATTTCACACATTGAATATTTTTGGATGGCCATCCAAAACTACTTGACTTTTGCAATGTGCGGTAACCCCATGCAAAATTTCGTAAGGATCGGGCCATAAATGCGATCTGTATATGATATCCTGATATCCTAACTACTTAGTTTTGTTAGCTGTAGAAATATTACCAAATGTTTAATTCAAAATGAAAATATGCCAAAAATATGACAAAATTGAAAAAAATATGAGAAAATGTTACAAAATCAATATTTTCATCTTTAGAGAGATATTTTTATGCAATTTTTTAGACGTTTTTTCTTTCCTGCCAAGAGGCCATTCTAAATTAATGAGAACTGTCGAAATCAGTTCAGCCGTTCTCGACATATAAGAGATCCTTCAAGCATATCTTCTTTGATAGACATATATATCGCACATATTTTGCTATATACCCGATTTGTTGCATGTTAACATCTATGTAAAGAAATAACCTTGTCATGGCTTTGTGATTTCGACGGGATTTAAAATATTCACGGTTTAATGAAAAATGTTGAATTTTTTCAACACAAAAGATATGGTCTATTTTACCCGCTAAATATTATGCGATGACCACCCAAATTGGTAGGTTTCTTCCCCGCCCTAAACTATAGCTACATGCGAAGTTCCGCGTCGATTGGTCTATAATTGCGACCTGTATAGCTACTGCAACATTTGTTTTTTTTCAGTTTTTGGTCCATTTCGACCTAAATATTATGCGATCATCTCCAAAAGAAATAGGGTTCTATAGTGACCCCAGCCCCACCTCCATTCTAAATTTCGGTCCATAATTGCGACCTGTAGAGTGCTTACATCAACATGGACAGACGGACGGACATTGCTAAATCAACAAAGAATTTTATGCTGATCATATATATATATATATACTAAAATCATCGCTAAATCATCGCTAAATCATCGCTAAAATCATCAAAATATCCTCTCATAGACTGTAGCAATCATTACGAAGGATAGAAGGACAGACGGACGGACATTGCTAAATCAACACAGAATTTTATGCTGGTCAAGTATATATATATATATATATATATATATATATATATATATATATATATATATATATATATATATATATATATATATATATATATATATGTATATATATATATATATATATATATATATATATATATATATATATATATATATATATATATATATATATATATATATAATATTCTTGATCAGCATAAAATTCTGTGTTGATTTAGCAATGTCCGTCCGTCTGTCCTTCTATCCTTCGTAATGATTGCTACAGTCTATGAGAGGATATTTTGATGATTTTAGCGATATTATTCGCCGGAATTGTTTCAAATTTGGCATTTTCAGTTCGTAATGGATACTACAGCCTCAGACAGAAAATTGTCTGTACAGCTCCACCTCTTCGTATAGCCCCAATATAATTGTACATCTCCATATTCGGTATTTTTGTGATTTTAGGTACATTATTCACCGATTTTTTTCATTCAAGTTTCGCATTTGAGTATTGTAATGGTTTACGACAATAGTTACCTATGCAGATCCACGTCGTCATATAGACCTAATATAACGGCTACATTCGGTATTTTTAAGGATTTTAACAGAATTTTTAATGGATTTTATTTTTTGAAAATTGTCAAAATCGTTCCAAATGGTGGAGGGTATTCAAAGGTCGGCCCGGCCGAACTTACAGCTTTTTTACTTGTTAGCTCTACTACTTTCCCCGTAATCATTTTTGTGTTGCACAGTGTTATTATAAAATTTGCTTATTTGGTACGTAAATATAAGAACTCTAAATTAAAATGTCAGCTGATGTAGTTTAACCAATTTATGGTTGAGGTAGACACTAGAATGTTAATTGAAGCTTGAGAATATAGTTTAAGACAACACTATAACATTGGCCTTTGCATTTTTTGTGAGAACAAAAAGAACTTATTCGATTGGGGATTTTCATTAAATAAATTTCTCAAGAATGATAATGAACATCTAATGATAATCGCAGAATGGACTTCTGTCGATAAAAAAGCTTATCTCGCCACTCGACACAAAAATGAATCCGTGGAGGCAGTTTTAGCCCTTATTAGTCACTCATTCACAATCTTCTAAGTAGTTTTAGTATTAAGTTTAAAAATTCAAAGCTATGGCTTTTACTGGCCGTTCGCCTTTTTTCACTGTTCAAAACTTTAAAGTATGGATTTCCGAAAATCCCATTATCCCACCCGAGTGACCTTTTGTGTTCCTCAGTTCATGAATTTCGATCGCCTAATAATAATTCTGTTCCCTTTTCCTGCCGTTTAATATGAAGTTGTGTCAATCGTGTTCGATCGAGCGAACTAGGTCCGTGGACTCCGGTCGGTTGTATAAAAACTCTGCGAATGAGCGATATGAAAGATATGAATTTATTAAAATCCTTCATACGTTTGGCAACAACTCTGGTCTAATAACAATGTTGCAGCATTTTGTGGTTTTAGTACTTTTTTCAGCCCAGTCCATCTGGTACAAACCCACACGAAAATATAAAATGTAATGCTTGTTATTGGACAAACGGAATGTCCTAGAACTCTGAAATTTGATATGAAAGTCACTGATTAAGTGCAGGGAAGATGTAACAAAGCGTTTTTTTTGAAATTCCAACTTAAAGCTTAGAAAAAAATTCCAACTTAAGCTTAGAACTTGTAATTTGGTTTGAGAATAAAGGTTGGAGTGTAAATTTGATAGTAAGTCCATGTTGGTGGTAGGTTTATTATTCATGTGGACGCCACTATTGGTGTGTGTATCTTTTAATACACTCCACCTTAGGGTAAAGAAAACATTAGAACCAATTATGACAATGCAATGTTTCGCCACCGTAGAAAAATCCATGAACAAATTTGGCAAAAATCATCAAAAAATGAATATTTAGGGATGTTACAAACGGAATGACACAGTTAATATACCCTCCTTTCCAAGGTGGAGGGTATAAAAATGACACAAAATGTGCCGTTGGGTGTTGGGATAGCGATATAATTCTTAATGTTGATATCAAGGTCACTGGGGTGAAGAGAAGGATTTGTTTTTGGAAATGGAAATAACTATACGAAAAGTATGATAATAAATTTGGGATTTGGTCCTAGGATAAAATTTGAATTATGAATTTGGATATGGTTGGTGTAGAGTTTTGAGAGAAGGAAGTGAATTTGACAATGGGTACTATGATTATTCGAAAAGTACTAAATTTCCGTTGATTGAATGATGTTTGAAATTTGATATTGAGGTCACTGTTGGTATCTAGGATTTAGAAGGCGGTGATTTAAAAATGCGTACTATAATTGGATAATACTAAATTGGGTTTGGACACAAGAATTGAATGTGGGTCCATTGTGCAATGGTTTTGCTAATATCCTCCTCGGTAATCTTCAAAATGAAAGATTTTGAAGATTTTTTGTTGTAAAAGGTAAACATTTATCATATTCTTTTATAAAATGGAAAAACTTGAAAAGAAAATCTGAAAATGTTAGGAGGTTTTTAATTTTTTTTTTTTGTAAAACTTAACAAATTGATCATTTTGAGAACTAAAAATACCTAATATATAGGAACGAATCTAAAGTTTAAAGATGAACTTTTCGCTGACGAAGTAGCGGGCACTTCCTAGTATCTCATAGAAGAATTAGGTCATTAGCCCTCTCTACCTCCCAAAAAGTGGTATAATTTGAATATTTGTTTTGAATTCTAAACTATTCCCCGTTTTTCCTTAATTCGTGGGCATCATAATATTTCCATCAACATAAAGTTAAGAGTGGCACTTCACGAATATGTCCCCCATGAAGGTTCAAAGTTTGAAATAAGGAAAACAAATAATAGTAACTCTTAAAAACATGAATTTACGTCTGGTGTTTTTAGGACCGCTCTTACAGTATCGGTTTGGCCTTCCGGCT